AACCTACTGAATTATTAATACATGAAAATTGGACTTAAGTAGCTTTATTTCAACATAATTACCTTTAAAATACCGATTTATGAATGAACTTGTTATCTTTTTTGATACCTTATAGAACATTTATTGTATTCAAATAATTTTATCTAAAAATGAAGTTATAAATATTAACTGGAATTAAACTGGAGAAAATTTATAATATTTTTGATTTGATGATAAAAATGAATAAAATAAACTTCCATTGAAAAATCATTCATGCAAATAATATTCACATGGAATGTATTTCTATGTTACCTATAATAGCATTCTAATGTTCTAGTAAATATTGGATAAAAAACTGATTCATTATTTAATGCAAGGCATGTAGCGTTTCGATCCTCTATATTTGCAATTAAAGCATATTCAAGAGATGTAGAGTTTAATTATCCTAACATCAAAATAGGCTCTTCCAAATTGTTAATAAGTAAATCAGTAATGTTGTAAACACCTATAATATAGGTATTTTCGTATTTAAATTGTTAAAGTAGAAAGCCAATAGAATATACAGCACTTAGAATTTACACAAAATCATCACCTACATAAACTTGGATAGTGGTTTTTAAATTTAATTATAGTAAGTAGTTTTAAGAAAACCTATTCACTAATAATGAACCTAAACCTTAAGTATACTCACATAATCTTTTGAATTATAAAAAGTCTTAAGAATACTAGTGAAAGGATGCATATTTATTTGTCAAATATTTTCAATATCAAAATTTAAGCCCAAATTTAATGATCCCATCTAAACTGTTAAGTATTACCTAAACTTTTATTAAAAGTTAGATAATTATATAGGACATCAAATTCACAAAAATACAAAATAAGAACTAAATTTTACTAATTCATATCTAAACTAGAATTAAATAGAGCTACTGAAAAATCTTAACAATTTCCATTATAATTAAGTAACTGCATAGTGTTGTTTAACGGATTCAATAACTACAAACCTTAGTCATATGTATCTTTAGAGCCTAAAATAAATTTAAGAGTGGCTGTTTTCTTTATATTAGTAAATTTCTAAGGTATTTACAATAAGCTTCTAATTATTGTACTTCCATAAGAGTCAAAATAAATGCTTAGCCAATATTAAGCGGCGTCGTTTTGACATATCGAAGTTAAAGTTAAATGATAAGATGTTGATTTCAAGCATTCAGTAAAATTTTAATCAGCAAATTGTATATTTAAGATATACAAAATATTAAATAGAAATATCGATTACACTATTGTTTCACAGAACAAAAAATTAATTATTTACTGCAGTTACTAATGTGGATGTATAATCAGTTTTTTGGGATAAAGTAACCAAAATTAGGTAAATTGCATAAATCTGTTGTAAGATCTTTTTAATCAAATTAATGAGCTTTATCAATATGATCAACATCAGAACTATTCGGAAAATAACAAAGACTTGCCTGCCTATCAAGGATTATATTCATGTGAAAGTTCGATCATTTACATTTAAATCTTTATTGACAAATCTTTGATTATTGTAGATTTTGGTTAGAAATAA